TAACGACAGAGAGACCTCTAGGGTTCTCCAAACTCCTTCAAACCCTGTTGTAATTCCCCAAACTCCAAACCAAAAACATGGTTCCGAGAGATAAAACCACCACCACCATCACCGTTGTCAACTGCTGCAGTGTTGTCAACGACAAGGAGACTCGCTACAAAGGCATGAGAAAGAGGCCATGGGGAAGGTATTCCATCGAGATCCCTGATCTTGGCAAGAAAAGTTGTGTCTAACTTGACACCTTCGACATTGCTGAGGAGGCGGTGCATGCGTATAACACGGTGGCAAGGGAGTTCCGTGGCACCAAGGCTAAAACTAACTTCCCTACCCTACCCGAACTTGTTCTCACCGTTGTCGTCACCACCAACAGCAACCAGATCACTATCATCAGCACCCTCCCTCCAGATTTGAAAAAAAAGGACACCGCCACTACTCCTCTGCCAATTTGTGTCGATCTCGCCACCAATCCCATCTCCGATCTGCCTCTCTCTCTTCTCTCTCCTCTTTCCTCTTCTTTGAAATGAATCGCCACTTCTGAGATTTCTACAACTCTTTCTCCCTTTCTCTTTCTCTCTCTATCGAATCTATTTTTTTTTTTTTTTAGATGTAAGTTTAGATATGATATTATTGTTGTTGTTGTGGTTGGTAATGATGATGATGATGATAAAACATATTGCAATATGTGTGGCACCAGGGCTTAGTAAGATGAAAATGAGAGAGAAGAGATAAGAGAGAAAAGAGATATTTTTTTTTTCTTATATGTTGTTCTGTGTATGTAGTAATGAAATAGACCTTTTTGTTTTTTTTTTTTGAATTTTTTTCTAATCTTCTATTGTTGATGATGTTGATGATGAAGAAACATATAATAGGATAGATCTGTTCAAAATTTGAATAGATAATAATATTGAACAAATTTGAACAGAAAAAAATTAAAAAGATAAAAAAATTTACACATATAAAATATTTGAACATATAGATTTAAACAGATAAGTTTAAATTTTAAATAGAAAAAAATATTTGAATAGATAGATGTAAGGTGGTGGTGGGATGAGAAAGAAAGAGTCGTTTCAATAGATAAAACAGAATAAGTGCAATTTTTCAATAGACAGAGAAAGAAAATCAGACGTGGAGAGAGAAACATATAGAGAGAAAGTTTAAAAATGATGTGAATCTGAACAAATAAAAAAAATAGATTATAAAAATTCAACAGATAAAAAAAATTCAACATATAGGTCAAAACAATTAAATGGATATATAAAAAATTTGAACAGATAGATATAAATTTGAATAAATAGAAAATAATTTGAACAGATAGATATAAATTTAAACAGATAGTCAACGAAAGTCAACAAATAAATTAAGGAGCAAAATTAAAAAATACCTTATACCATCATTAACTTAGAATTTTCAACAATTATCTCTTCAAATAATAGGTAAAACCAGTAAATCGTTCTAGTTTGGTCCAAATTGTCTATTTTGTCTAGTTTTTATTAACTTAGGTTCTGATTTCTAGTTCTAAATTGATCTAAATCGTGATATATTTGTTTCTTATTTTTTAAATATTTTTATACATAAAACTAGAATATAGAAGTTACTAGTAAGATTCAAACACCAATCTTGACTATGGAATCGATAAGCTCTAACTAATTAATTTTTTTTTTTCAAATCTTAAAAATATTGGTTTGGACTGACGATGGCCACCCTTAACCCTAATTCGTGACCCTGATGAAGGAAAAAATAAAAATAAAATCAGAGATAGAATTCAGAAACATAATATGTGTGAGTGAATTTCTGACCACACTGCTAACTCAGTATTCAATTGGAGAGCACTGGCAGAATAGATGGCTTTTGAATGACCTGTAACAGAAAGAAGAGATTCCGGTGGTGTTTCGTCCACCCAGGGGCACTCCGATGATTAAGTCAGTAATCAAATATCTCTCAAAGGTAATCAATAGTGCTTAACTCACTGTTCAGAATATAAATTGTGTACCTTAGACCCATTAGGGGTGTTTTTCTTTTATAGCCTATTCAATCCTAGTCCCAATAGAAGCCTAGCTTCAATGGACTTCTGCTCAGTGCTTATCCTGGACTCTCCAATAGATAAAGATAAACTCCCTGAGAGCTTTATCCTTATCCAGGTTGAGGTCCTTCCTCATTCTAGGACTCTTGCCTCTTATCCGCTTATTTCGGACTCCGATATCTTCGGAGATAACCTTGGCATATCCGAGATCATCTCGGCGTCATGAGCAGGACACGTGGCACCTCAGTTGACACGTCGGCGTCACTTTGGCCACGTGTTGGTACTCAGAAAATATATCCCCACAACTGCCCCCTAGGTTCTATTACCTCAGCATCTTGAAGTGATGGAACCTATATCGTGAATGTCGGTGATCTTGCTGTATCATCCAACACATCGGCTTCACACAACGAGGTACTGTAGTCTGTCTCATCAAGGTTTTCAGAACCAATAACCTAGTTTATTTAAGTTATTTAGCCAAGATCTTTCTATCAGCCGAGGTCATTGCTTCATTTAAGCCAAGAACTGCAAGAGTTTTATCACGCGTATGAGCTGTCACGCAAAATAAATCAACCGTTTCTGCCACGCGTCTTCCTCTCACTGGATCGTACCTGATACGCGCCTGTAAGTCATCTTGTGTCTGGATGCGCCGTCTGATAAGCACGTCGCCTTAGACGCATTGATGGTATTTTGCCGCCATTCTCCGCGTTTTGATCAAAAAATAAATTCTCCATCTCTGTCTCTTCACTTTACACCATCGTTCTCAAGCTCCCAATTTTTTTCTTTCTCTAACTTTTTCTCCCAAGTGTGCCATTGTTGCTCCCGCGAAGCTTTCTGCAATTACTTCTGTTCACTCCCCTCCGGTGAAGATTTTTGTTGCACTTTTCCGGTTGCTGCCTCTGTCTGATCTCGGCGACTCTAATTTTCCTTTGTAAGTCACTGTTCCTTCGTTTTGATTTTTATTCTTCCTCAAACTGTTATATCTGTAAACTGTATTTGCAATGCTATTCACATTTGTCTTTTTGAATCCAACCATGTATTCTAAGCATATTTTTCTCATGATTTTGCTTTTTGCCCAAACCGTTCTTTAATATACACATAATACCCACATACTTGTTCACTCTGCCACTGTTCTTGGCCTTGCATCCTGGCACACACTCTGTCACAGTGTTCTTGATGATTCACCTTTCTTCTTGATTCTGAATCATTGCTCTTGTTTGTTTGCCGCGTTTTTTTCCAGATTCTTGCCTCAAATCTTCGTTTCCATAGATCTAGGTTTGGGATTTGTTTATAGAACCCACAAATTCTAAGAAGAATTGAAACGATCCCCACCAATTCTTACCCCAACTCACATTTAGGTTTTTGCCGGGCTCCCTATAACCCTTACAAAACACCTTCTTTCTGAAATCCAGCTCCTCCAATTTAAGCCGACGTTATGGGTATATGGAAGCATAAGGTAGACGCCCCAACCAAGTTCTAACACTTTAGGCAGGAGTTTGACATCCCAGCCGACGTTTATCTGAGGTTGGCTGGGGAGGATGACTCCATCATGCCCGATGTGAACCTCATGCCTTTCCCAGTAGTGGCCTTTATCGAGTGTGGACTTAGGTTTCCACTTGACACTTTTTTTCCGAGAAATCCTTCATTACTATAAATTGAACCCAATGCAGCTTGCCATCAATTCTTACCGAGTTATCAACGATACAATAGCCTTAGCCAAATAAGAGAATGCTAGGGTTACTCTTGCCGATTTCCAGTACTACTACACTATGTGTCGCCTAAAATCGAAAAAAGGCCACATCTATTACCTCAAGCCGAGGTCCACTGAGTACAAGCTCATTGCCGACCTTCCAGACTCAAACAAGGGTGCTGGAGACGATTACTTCATCGTCTCGGACAACTGGGAGTTTCAACCAAACGATGACCTCCACTTTTATCCCCTAAGTCAAACAGTTTTCAGGGAAGGAGATGGTAAGGGCCAAGTGTTACTCTTTCTTGTTCTCTATTTTAAAGTTTTCAATACTTTGTTCTAACGTTTTTGCTATTGTTTTTGCAGTTCTTCCCCAGCCACCGAAGGGCTTTCGCTAGTCTTTCTTCCCTAGCAAGGATTTGAAGAAGCTATTGGATTTGCCAGTCCACAAGCGAAGAGCCCCTCTGCTTCTCAACTTCATTCCTAGTTACAAGTTGGTACTCCCCGACATCCCAAAGAGGAAGAAAAGCCATTCTCCCATTTCTGCCACAACTCCTCCAACAGCGTCCTCATTTCAACCAGATCAAGGGTCAACCTCAAATCCAACAGAGCAACCATCCACCTCAGCTCCACAACTGATCCCACCGTCTTAACGCCAACGACAATGACGAACTGTTTTTGCTGCTGAGATGGGCTGCCAGAAAGCAGTCGCTAAAGACCTCCTAGCCAACATCCCTGACGAATTTAACGTTCAACCAGCACAAATCAAGCCTCAACCAAAGCAAAAGCAAAAAAGACTCAAGAAGGCTCAGCCAAAGGCAACGATGACTCAGATTGATACTGAAGACACCTTGCCAATTTCAAAATTGGCTGAGAGTGAGAAGACCTTTTCTACTGCCGAGAAGAGGCCCGCCGATGCCGAACCATCTCAATCAACTCGGTCGAAAAGGCTGAGATCAGAGTCAGCCACAGTTTCGGGCTCCATGAAGTCTGATGCCTCCTAGGCTCCACCCATTACTTTGGAGGACAGGCCGGTCAAAGTCGATGATAATGCCGACGACATCAACGTCGAGGTTGCCCTTACTACAGCCTTGTTCCTCCTTGGGATCTCAACTGCAACGCCAAGATGACTGAGTATGAAAACTTTGCCTTGATACTGCAGCACTTTGCTAAAGTAAGCCCCTTTATTCGGTAATTTTTCTTTCTTTCTCTTTTTCATACATAGAAAATTTTCTAATAACTTCTGTTTTGTCCATTTTTCTTCAAGCAATCCAGCATGCCCACTCCTTCTCAATGCAATCTTTTGAGACAAGGAAGGCGTTGGCTGACAAGACTAGGGAGGTTGCTAGTCTGCAGAAGACCAATAAAAGGGTCAAGGCAAAAATGAAGACTTTGGCAGACCAGGCTGAGGCTGCTGTCAAAGCTAAGGATGATGCCGAAGAAAAAGCGGATGCCGCTGAGGCTATTAACAAAGTTCTTGAGGCCCAGAAAAAAGAGGTCGAAGAAAAGACGATCGAGGCCCAGAAAGAGTTGCAGGATGCCTTGGCCACAAAAGACGCCGAGCTCAAGGCCGTCGATGAGAAGGCATACAATGAGGGGGTGGCCGATGTCACGGTAGACTACGAGAAACAGGTGAAGCAGGCATGCAACAGGGGTTTTACCCTTAGTTGGATGGCTGCACTAAAAAAGCTTGAAGTCCCCGAGGACTCCCCCCTCAGGAACACCGACGTTCTCGCCCTGCCATTCCCCTCAACTCCAAGCCAATCCAACAACGATTCTGAGTCTGAGGAGGAAGCTTTGCTGAGGAAGTCAAAGGAAGCTGCTAGGGCCAAGTCCCCTACTCCAAATGAGCAAGTCCTGGACTTGACTCAAGATGAGGAGGGTGAGGAGGTTCCCAAAGATGCTACTCCTAAGTAGGCAACATCAGACGTGCCTATTGCCGATAAGAGCCTTGACCAAACCCTCCAAGAAATAGATGCCGAGCTTGCGGCTGAAAAGGCGGTCGACATGTCTTCTCAGCAGTCTTCTGAGCTCCAGACTCAACTTGCTAGTGGTGCTGAAGAATCTTAGTTTGATGTTCTCTTTCTTTTTTTTGTTTCTTTGTACTTTTTCCTTTCTTTGAAACAATGTAAGCTCTCGATGTGGCCGATGTGCCTTTTTTGAATGTAAATACAGCTTCTCTTGAATGCTTTGCATATTTGTCTTCCCTTTACTACTCTTGTATGGCTGTCATACTTAGAATATTTCTGCATATCTTTAATGTACACCTTAACTGTGTAATTTTCTCAGGGTAAAATACCTTGGTTATATCCACCAACGGTTTACATCGGCAAGTACATAAGTACTTATTTTAATACAACCTTGGCCTTAACTTGTAAAATTTTTTCACAAATTTCAACAAGTGTTCAGTTCAATTTCAACTTGTAAATTTTACACAAATTTTAACAAGTGTTAAACATCATATCGGCTTAACTTCAACTTGTAAATTCTTCTCAAATTTCAACAAGTGTTAAACATGATCTCGGTTTAACTTCAACTTGTAAATTTTTCACAAATTTCAACAAGTGTTAAACATGACATCGGTTTAACTTCAACTTGTAAATTTTTCTCAAATTTCAACAAGTGTTAAACATGATCTCGATTTAACTTCAACTTGTAAATTTTTCTCAAATTTCAACAAGTGTTAAACATGATCTCAGTCTAACTTCAACTTGTAAATTTTTCACAAATTTTAACAAGTGTTAAACGTCATATCGGCTTAACTTCAACTTGTAAATTTTTCACAAATTTCAACAAGTGTTAAACATGATCTCGGTTTAACTTCAACTTGTAAATTTTTCTCAAATTTCAACAAGTGTTAACCTGATTTTAGCTTGTATATTCTACCTTGCCAGGAACCATTTTCCAACTTTTTGCCCCCTAATGTGAACTTAAGTTCCACTTGGGTTCTCATTATGCACGTATTCTAGAAACATCGTCAACAATCTTATCAGTCACAAGTGTGAAAAATCAAGCTAGAACTTTATTTATTACTTCAACTAATAACAAAGAACAAGAAAATTTAATGATAAAAAAATTTAAGATTGCAGGTATTCTAGGGCCTTGGCAATTCTCTGCCCTCATTATCTTCAAGCCGATATGTCCCATTGCCAATACCGAGATGATTCTATAGGGTCCCTCCTAATTTGGGCCAAGCTTGCCCTCTCTGGGATCCTTCCTGTTTCCAACAACTTTTCTCAAGACGAGGTCACCGATTTGAAACTCCCTTGGGTTGACCTTCTTATTATATGCCCTGGCAAGCTGCTACTGGTATGCCGCCAGCTGAATTGCAGCTCTCTCCCTTTTCTCTTCTAGTAGATCCAGATCTCGGGCTAATAGTATATCATTAGTCCCGTTCTCTACTCCCTTTGTTCTGATCCCTGGAATGCGTTGTGCCATAAGCCATGGCAAATGGGGATTCCCCAGTTGATCTTCTAGGCGTAGTCTGATATGCCCAAAGTACACTTGGCAGTTCATCCACCCACTTTCCCTTTGCTGTTTGCAGCCTCTTCTTAATCCCATCCAAGATGAATTTGTCGGATGCTTTTGCTTCTCCATTGCTTTGAGGAAACTCGGGGTGGAAAAATAATTCTTGATTTTGAACTTTGCACAGAAGCTCTTGATTAGCTTACTGTCAAACTGTGTTCCATTGTCTGCAACTAATGCTCTTGGGATCCCAAACCTGGTGATGATATTTTTCCAAATGAAGTTCTTCACATCCACGTCTCGGATCTTGGCAAGGGGTTCAGCTTCTATCCACTTGGTGAAGTAATCTGTTGCTACCAGTAGGTACTTCCTTTGCCCAGTTGCTTGGGGCAGTTTTCCAACAAGATCCATGCCCCATTGGACGAACGACCAAGGACTGGATACTGGGTTCAGGTCTACTGCTTGTTGGTGTATCAGAGGTGCAAGCCTTTGGCACATTTCACACTTCTTGATATAGGTTTCTGCATCTTTCTGCATGTAGGGCCACTAATACACCTGGGTAATGGCCCTATGAGAAAGTGATCTACCCCCAGTGTGGCTTCCACATATTCCTTCATGTATTTCGTATAAAAAGTCTTCAACTTGTGAAAGATGTACACACCTCAAAAGGGGTCCAGTGAAGGATCTTCTGTAGAGATGTCCCTCTGCTATCAAACTGAATCTTGCCGACTTCAATCTGATCTTGTGTGCCTCTTTGTGATCATCTGGAAATTTTCCTTCTTTCAAGAATGCTACTATTGCATCCATCCATCTTGGTCCCATGTCCACACACATTGCTTCACGCTCTGTGGTCAGTGGTTCAATGCTCGAGCCCGACAAGTATTCGACCATTATCGTCCTTGCTTTTCCAAGTTGTGTTGCACTAGCCAGGTTGGCCAGTGCATCATTGTGACTGTTATCATCTCGGCTAATCTAATGTAGTCGGCAATTCTAAAACAAGGCCACCAACCTGCTGACCTCTTTTGCGTAGGCCGACATCCTATCATCTCGGGTTGCAAACTCGCCCGTTGTCTGGTTGACTATAAGCTGGGAGTCACAGAAGACTATCACTCCATCTGCTTCTACTGCTATTGCCAGTTTCAGTCCTGCAATCAATGCTTCATACTCTGCTTCATTGTTTGAGGCCTTGAATCCCAAACAAATGGATTGTTCTAGTATCTGTCCATCTGGAGATACCAATACTACTCCTGCCCCCGCTCCTTGTCGGTTTGAACTCCCATCAACAAACAGTCGAAAGGAGTCGCCGATGTAAATGCTGCAGGGCCTGAGTTTTTTTTCCTTTTTTTGTTCTGTTGCCCTCGGCTGGGCTTCTTTTTGCTTGCTTGGACATCTTTCCCCTTGGCTCAACGGAGCCCAATGTACGATGGATCTTGGCGTAAACTCGGCCATGAAGTCGGCCAAAACTTGGCCTTTGATTACTGTTCTAGGTCTGTATTCCAAGTTATACTGGCCCAAAGCCACTACCCATCTGGCTATTCTGTACGTCAGATCTCCCTACTGTAACAGGGACTTCAAAGGATATTCAGTTAGCACCACAATTTTGTGGGCTTGAAAGTAGTGGTTCAGCTTCTTTGAAGTCATTACTAAGGCCAACGTTAACTTCTCCAAGGGTAAATACCTGGTTTCTGCATCAGCCAGGGTTTTGCTTACATAGTAAACAACCCTTTGTTTCCCTTTTTCTTCTCGGATTACGACTGCGCTTATCGCATGTTCCGAAATTGCTAAGTATAGGAACAGTTCCTCTCCAGGTATTGGATTTGAGAGAATTGGAGCCGTGGTCAGATACTTCTTCAAGTCGGCCAGGGCGACTTCGCATTCTTCTGTCCATAAGAAGTCTGTGGCTTTCTTCACTAAGCTGAAGAAAGGTTTGCACTTGTCTAAGCTTCTGCTCATAAACCTATTTAGGGTTGTAGCCCTTCCAGTCAGTATTTGCACCTGTTTTGCCGACGTCGGGCTCTTCAACTCTAAGATGGCCTTAATCTGATCTGGGCTGGCCTCAATGCCCCTTCTGGTTACCAAGTATCCCAAGAACTTACCAGATCCAACTCCAAATGCACACTTCGATGCATTTAGTCGAAGCCGATATGTTTTAAGGATATCAAAGACAGCTTTTAGGTCGGCGAGTTGACCTTCAGGTTCCTTGGTCTTCACGATCATGTCATTAATGTAAACTTCCACTGTTCCGCCAATCAGGTGTCTGAACATTTTGGTTACCAATCTCTAGTAAGTTGCTCCTGCGTTTTTCAACCCAAAAGGCATCACTCTGTAGCAATACAGCCCTTTTGGGGTGATAAACACGGTCTTCTCCTCATCTGGGGGGTACATGGCTATTTGATGGTACCCCCTGTAGGCATCTAGGAAGCTCATCCTTCCATGCCCTAAAGTGGCATCCACCAGTTGGTCGATCTTGGGTAAAGGAAAACTGTCTTTGGGACATGCCTTGTTTAGGCTGGTAAAGTCCACGCAGACCCTCCATTTACCATTCTTTTTCTTCACCACCATTATATTCGATAGCCATGTCGGGTAATTTACCTCTCGAATGGCTCTGGCTTCCAGAAGTCTGTCTACTTCCTCTTCCACTGCCTCAACATGTAGCAGCGTCGGTCTTTTTGCCCGTTGGATTACAAGTTTGGCCGACTTGTCTACGTTTAGTTTATGGCAAGTGACCTCGGGGTCAATGCCTGGCATTTCATAAGGCGTCCAGGCAAATACTTCAATGTTTGCTCTCAAGAAAGCCTCCAGTTCTTTTTCCTCTTCTTTGGCTAAGCCCGAGCCGAGAAAGAATAAGCGTTCTTCATCCCCCTGTTGGACGGGGATTTTCTTTAGGGCTTCTTCACTTTTCTCGGCTGGTTCCTTGCCGACGTCTTCTACGACATCACGTTCTCGTCTTCGAACTCTGCCCTTTTTGGTTCTCATATGCAACAAGTGGATTTCATTGTTGCCATGGAGCAGTTTTTTGCCTGTAGCTGATCCCCTCTGACCTCCACTATCCCATGCTCTGTTGGGAACCGCAATAGCTGATGTAATGTTGAGGGAACAGCCCCCATTGCATGCAACCAGGGCCTTCCCAAGATAACATTGTAAGGGGAGGGTGTGTCGATTATGGT